TGAGGTTCCTCATTCTGACTTACATCATGCAGCTGTTTTGGAATAGACCACTATTTCTGAAACATCAGATAGGCAAGGCACACTTTCCCCCCTGAAATAAATCAAGCATTTATTAATTTGTAAGAAGGTTTATGAATCCTCAAAACTGCTCAGTAACAGCCTACGTATTCTGTGGGAGGAAAGATCCCAGTCTCACAGGTTCAAGCCTTGCTCTAATCTCCAATTAAAATAATCAGAGAAGCCAGAGATGATGTTACCTTTGCATTCATGCCTTTAAGTGCATGGTTTTCTCGTTTTTGCTTTTTTAAAATGAACCAAACTGCTAGCATAGGGCTCCCAATACGGATTGCAATGCTAGCTGGGAGAGGAGAGGGGATTTAAGCTTGACCTCTCCCCTGACACTGGGTCGTGATCCAGATAACCCCTTGCCCTCGCTTGCAATTTAGGGAGCCATGGATTGGACCTGCCGATGTGCCTGACCTCCTCCCTCCTCCCGCCCTCCTCATAAGTGGCAGTGATTCTGCTGCTGTGGAAGACCAGGTGGGTGACATTGCCCCTCCATCGCTGACTGCCCTGGTCACTTGTACTTCCTGCCTCCAGAGCCCTTGGAAGTTGCAACACCCAGAACTGCTCATAGTGGAGGTTGGTGTGGTACAGTGGTACCTCGGGTGAAGTACTTAATTTGTTCCGGAGGTCTGTTCTTAACCTGAAACTGTTTTTAACCTGAGGTACCACTTTAGCTAATGGGGCCTCCTGCTGCTGCCGCGCCGCCGGAGCACGATTTCATCCTGAAGCAAAGTTCTTAACCCGAGGTACTATTTCTGGGTTAGCGGAATGTATGTATGTAACCTGAAGCGTATGTAACCCGAGGTAGCACTGTAAAGTGTTTCCATTTCAGCTGCTTTTTCAGGGAGCCTGGGGATATTTTTATTGCTGGCATACTGTCAGCTATGAGAAGCATCACATGGAACACTATTGTCATGTGTCCTCCTTAGAACATGCGGAACATGTTCTCCTTTACTTTTTGGAAAAGGCAAAGCCCAGCATCTGTCAGCAGATGGTGACGTCGGATCGAAACCCTTTCCAAAGCCGGTTTCCACCAAATCGATAGGGTTAGGATTTCACGCGTGAAATGTGTGTGTGGCATGCTCTGCCAGCTGCTAAATTTCCTTTACCATTGTTATTTCTGCCCATCTCAGAGGCTTCCCAAACATGCCACTTGAGCGTTATATTGTAATGACTTTGCTCTGCCGCCAGTCCCAAAGGCAACGAGGACTCAATGATTTCCCAGATGGAATCCCATCGGTTTTAACACACCGTGTTTAAATTTAGCCTCAGTTTTATGGGAGCACATTTCAAAGAAACAAACAAATTTCTTGACACATTGATGCTGCCAAGGGTGACAGTTTAGTACGGCAGCCTTGGGTCTCTGTTGTCTGAGTCTTGCAACCTTCACTTACAAAGAGAGATCCTGAAGCATCCTCTACATATTTTAACACCCCATTTGCTACGGGCCATAGACTATTCCCATTTGCTTCCGATGAGCCACTTGGGGCAGCTAAACCTCACGAAAGTATTGTCCTCTCAATCAGATGGTGCTGCTGGGGCAGGTTTCAAAGGGTCCTCAGGGGCCATTCTGCACCATCAGGATGCAGATAGGTCCCAGGGCTTCATCTTCCAAGCATGTCAGGCCAATGAGATGAGCGTCCTCTTGCTTGACAATGTCTGGTAGGGGACTACACAGAGAGAACTAGATAGGAAAAAATGACTCTTGTTATCAGTCAAAGAACACAAATAACAACAACAACTTATTATTTATACTCTGCCCATCTGGCTGGGCTTCCCCAACCACTCTGGGCGGCTTCCAACAAAATATTAAAATACAGTAATGCATCAAACATTAAAAGCTTCCCTAAACAGGGCTGCCTTCAGATGTCTTCTAAAAGTCTGGTTGTTGTTGTTCTCTTTGACGTTCCACAGGGCGTTCTACAGGGTGGGTGCCACTACCGACAAGGCCCTCTGCCTGGTTCCCTGTAACTTGGATTCTCGCAGGGAGGGAACCGCCAGAAGACCCCTGGTGCTGAACCTCAGTGTCCGGGTAGAACGATGGGGGTGGAGACACTCCTTCAGATATGCTGGACCGAGGCTGTTTAGGGGCTGTTTAAAGGTCAGCACCAACACAAACATGCACAACAGGTGACAGTGCTAGAGTTTGGCTCCCACTTCTCTGAAACTCGAAGCAATGGATTCTGGCAACCAGTCAGTTCCCATAAGCTGTAGTTCTGGGTTTGTCATCTCTCTGGGAACTCCAGGACTACAGCGTCTGGCAGCATATCTCCAGGGTTTCAACAAATAGTTTTTCCCAGCTCAGGGATTGGAGTTTTTAATAGGGAAGTTTTTAATGACTGATATTTTAATGTATTTTAAATCTTTTGTTGGAAGCCTCCCAGAGTGGCTGGGGAAACCCAGCCAGATGGGTGGGGTATAAATAAATTCTTATTCTTATTCTTAACCTGGGACCTCCTGGATGCCAAGCAGATTCTCCTCTATGAAGCTTTGGCTTTTCTCCCAAGCTCAAAGACAGGAAAAGGGCTCTTCAATCTCCTTTCTACAGAAATGCATGAAGACAGAGGGAAGCTTTGGAAGAAATATTTATTTAAAGCATTTTCACCTTTTGGATCAATTTAGTTGGTTCTCTTGGTGATGAGGCCTAAGAGGTCCCACCTCCCCCCGGAAAAAAGTTGGGGGTTGAAGAAGGATTTGAGGAGAGAGAGAGAGAGGTACCACCAGTGCTTCCCCCCCCTAAAAAAATGTTTAGGGGTACTCTCCTTTTCCTACTCATATTGAAATACTGCCCCTCAATGAGGCCAAACTTAGATTCACAAAACGTTTAGGGGTATGCGTACCCCTGCGTCCACCCCCCAGAAAAAAAGCACTGGCCACCACTATGCCGTTGTCCAGGGAGCAAGTATTGGTGATTGCACAATCATGAGGCACAATGTGAACGTTGCTCATGAGCGGCAGGGAGAGGTCCCAGTTGTGGCACAGTTTGCAGTCTTATGTACTACTGAGGAGAACATTTCATGCATCTGAGTAAATGGGATCCAAGCTACAAAGCTGTACGCCACAATGAATCTGTTAGGGCACAACTCGAGGAAACAGCTTGAGATCTATGCTTGGATAGTCCATTTTCTTGTTCTATAAGAAAAGTAGATACAACCAGCCCATGGGAAGGCTTTGCTTGTCAGTTTTGCCCTTCTTACTCTCCGTGTTGCTGTGACGGAAAAGTTTTGTTGGGCAGGTTGGGTCAACAAGTGTTTTCTTTTTCTTTTCCCCTGCCAGCAAATGGTTAACAAATGGCAGCTTATGATTGACTGGTGTTCCAGGACGGGGAGTTAAAGAGGAGAGGTTTTGGAGAGACAGTTGGTAGGTTGGGATAGAGGTTGGGAGAATAGGTAGGGAGATAGGAGTCAGGTTGGGTGATAGGGAGTGAGAGGAGAGAGAGTTGGTTCTGGGTAGAAACATCCCCTCTGAGGAATATAGCACAAGCTAGAGAAAGGAGTCTCTGAGCTTAGTGTGAAGGACAGTGTGTGGTGTCCTGTAAGAGTAATAGGCCAGGAATTAACTGGGAGGCTGAGGTTGAGCCAGGAGAAGTAGAAGGATACAGTCTACTTAGGTCTCATTCCAGCCAGGAGGGGAGTGATTCTTCTACAAAAAGAGAACACTCCCAAACCAGTTAAGGGGGGTGTGGCGATCTCTTGGGTCTGTTACTTGGAGTACCTCAGGAATAGGGTTGTCTAAGGGGTGTGTAATTGACAGGAAGTACCACCAAAGTATTAAGCGGCAACAACTGAGAAAGAACTGAAGTGAAATAACATTATAATCTGAAGTATCCTATGATTAACCCACTTTGTGTCATAAACTTCATTTATTTAATAAAATCATTCTTGTTTATTAGATTAAATCCTGCCTGAGACTCCAAATTATTAAGTTTTCCCTCACAAGATAATCTGGGGTAGTTTGTAGGAATTTGTGGAATTGGTGTGCTGTGAGGTAGGTGCACAATATTTAAGTGAGGGCGGGCCCAATGGCGCCAGGAGAAAAAGTGCCCTCACTTAAATATAGTGCACCCACCTCAGTTGCCCTCGTGGAACTCAGCAGAGAGGAGGATGATGACAAAACTAGAATTAGCTGGCTCTGCCTGTCATTGGTTTTGGTACCCACTCCTGTTGGGCTCCCAGCCTTCCGCCCTACCAGTTGCAGTGGGCAACAGCCACTACTGCTTGGAACCATTTAGGTCCCGGAGACACCAAGGGAAGCAGGAACAGATGGAGCAAGTCCTGCCTTTGAGTTGAATGCTAAATTGCTCACTAAGGAACAGAACTGCTTGGTGCACTAGGACCACCCAATGTTAGAATTCCTGCTCCATAATTGCAGTCATGGGATTTTTGTCTATCACATGACGGTGTATGATTTGACTCCACAGAGTGGGAAGTGACGGAGACAGGATGTTTGTGTTACTGTATTCCGTGAAGTGGGACTATTGTCCTTTGTTCTTTTTTCCCCCTTTGCTGTCTGATGCTAGAGAGAGAGGGAACCATGTTGCAGTGCTCCGTGTGTGTTTATATGTAAATAAAGTAGATTAGCCAAAATGCTGAGTTGCTGAGGTCTGTCACGCAAGGTGCTCGAACTCTGCGGATCTCTAAGTGTGCTGGTGTTGGTTGGCATTAGTCGCTGTGATGTTCGGGCTGAAGAAAGCATATGAAGTTCCCGAACGATCGACCAAGAGGGAGGGAACATGTCAGTTGGGCATGTGTCTCTGCCAGGGTTCTACTCGAGTGTAGGCTGAACTCCTGACACCCTATTCCTTTAAACAGGACAGCAAGTCAGTGTTGGATCAATGTCTAAACCTTGAGTAGACTCATAGACTCATAGAATTGTAGAGCTGGAAGGGAACACGAAGGTCATCTTGTCCAGCCCCCAGCAATGCAGGAAACTTTAGCCCAATGTGGGGCTTGAACCCATGAGCTTGAAATTAAGAGTCCCATGCTGTACCAACTGAGTTGTCCCAGCAGTTGTTTATTGAAGTTGTCTTAACCAGAAAAAGAAGAATCACTATTGTTGGGAGCCAGTGTGGTGTAGTGGTTAAGAGTGGTGGACTCATAATCTGGAGAACCGGGTTCACGTCTCCGCTCCTCCACATGCAGCTGCTGGGTGACCTTGGGCCAGTCACACTTCTCTGAAGTCTCTCAGCCCCATTCACCTCACAGAGTGTTTGTTGTGGGGGAGGAAGGGAAAGGAGAATGTTAGCCGCTTTGAGACTCCTTCGGGTAGTGATAAAGCAGGATATCAAATCCAAACTCCTCCTCCTCCTCCTCTTCTTCTTCTTTTGGGACAGGAGCCTATCAGTGGCAGGAGACAACTAGACACCTGTTGGCTTCTTTCAGTGGCAGCTGTTGAATACAGGTGTGGCGAACCTACTCTGGGAATCTTGATTTCATGGTTTCCTTTGCCACCAAGACAGATGCAATTTTTGAAAAGAGTCTTCATTTGATCATTTGTTCTTCATCAAGGACAGAACAACCGCCATCTGATTAGAGTCTCATTAACCCACTGCGACAGGCAACTTGCCGATAAGCTATCTCTTTGATATGGAACATCTTGCAAGAAAAGGAGATATTTTAAGGCCTCCCAACCTCCCCCCTTCCTGATGTTGACTAGGCATTGTTGAAGATGTTATCTCTGAGAACTGCTGGCAATCTCGAGTGTTGTCCTGGATATCTCAATGAAGATGTCGACCCAGTGTGCAGTGGCTCCGAGAAAGGCAAATTCCATGCTAAGGATCATTAGGAAAGGAATTGAAAATAAAACTGTTGATATAATGGTGTTATGCAAATCTATGGCGCAACCGCATTTGGAATACTGAGTGCAGTTCTGGTTGCAGCACCTCAGAAAAGGATATTATTGTATTTGGAAAATATTCAGAAACAGGCAACCAATGCTTTCCTGTGACAGATATTCTCAATGTCAAGCAGGGATACAGTTCGCCAGGACTTGAGCATCCAGGGGAACTGAGCCCTGGGCTGTGAGCCCATTTCCATGAGGATAAAATGGAGGCTAAATTGCAGGTTGTACTTGAGGACCTTTATGCAAATTTAGCTCCTCATAACAGTGAATCTAGATTGGGTGTCCAGATCTTCTAAGATCTTGTGAGCTCTATTAGAGTCAAGGCAGAGCAGAGGAAGGCCAGTCTGGATAGAAGAGAGAAAGATTTTTTAAACCAGTAATTTTTGCTTAGCCACTCAGTTTTCTGAGCTATAATAGTAATAATATTTATGCATCTATCATATACACAGAAGTATGCAGTTAAGACATGATGGATTCGCCCATCCTCTCTCTCTAAATCAGAAAACATCCATAAGCATGCTAGATTGCAAAAAAAATAAAATAAATTACATTAGTTAAATCAACTTGTTGCCATTTACAACATCTCGTTTAATTAAACATCATGCTACATTAAACTAGCTTGGTGGATTTTTCAAGTCAGATGGGATGCTCTCGAAGCAGGAATTCAGCATAACGGCAGTCAGGGACATTGCAGGCAATCTGCACTAGGCTTGAGAAGAGACCTGCGGAATTGTCATTTAAATCTGTAGGGAAAGAACTTGTGTGGAAGCAATTTAATGGAATCCAGTTTGGGTCTTTGTTTTGTTTCAAGAGAAAAATGTTCTGAGCCAGCTGCTCCAAGGCATGGACAAAGTAATTCTCCCACAAATAGTCAGTTTTGTGTTTGTTTAGGTTCTTAACCAGCAGCTTGATCATAAGTTCATCCAACTGTTCTGTGGGCTGCTAGGTGTACCTGGGAACATAGGTCCCCTGGACATAGGAGGAGATCTAGGAAGATGTCATATACCAAGCCAGACTCTTGGTCTACCTAGCTCAGTATTGTCCACTCTGACCAGAAGTGGTTCTCCACAGTTTCAGACTGGAGTCCCTCCAAGACCTTCCTGGAGATACCAGGAACAGAACCTTTGGACCTTCTGCGTGCAAAGCGGATGCTGGGATAGCACAGTTGGTAGAGCATCAGATTCTTAATCTCGGGATTGTGAGTTCGAGCCCCACACGGGACAAAAAGATTCCTGCATTTCAGGAGATTAGACTAGATGGCCCTCGTGATTCCCTACAACTCTACAATTATTTGAGTTTCTGAAGCAGTGTACAATATCAGAACAAAACATCTATAGCAGGCCTGTCCAACTGGTTGATAGCGATCTATAGGTCGATCGCGGGCTGTCTGTGTTTGTTCCTGGTTGGTTGCGTGATCTCCATTGATCGGCAAAAACAACAAACAAACAAACAAACAAACAACTTTGGTGAAGCCCCCCCCCCCAAAGCTCAACAACTCTGGTCAATCCAGTGGGTAGATCACTGCCAGTTTATTTATAATGGGAGTAGATAGCAGTTTCTTGGAAGTTGGACACCCCTGATCTATAGTATATAGTAAGTACACCTGCGTAATCTGAAAAGCAGATCTTTTAAAGAATCAGATAACACAAAGACATTACAGTGGTACCTCAGGTTACATACGCTTCAGGTTACAGACTCCGCTAACCCAGAAATATTACTTTGGTTAAGAACTTTGCTTCAGGATGAGAACAGAAATCGTGTTCTGGCAGCGCGGCAGTAGCAGGAGGCCCCATTAGCTAAAGTGGTGCTTCAGGTTAAGAACAGTATCAGGTTAAGTACGGACCTCCGGAATGAATTAAGTACTTAACCTGAGGTACCACTGAATTATTATTATTATTATTATTATTATTATTATTATTATTTTAAATTTGTATACCCACAGGTCTCAGGGCAGTTCACAGGATAAAATCACAATATAAAAACACCAAATACATAATCACAATAAAAGCAAAAACAACCAACCCAGTAACCACCACCATCCCAACACATTTTAAAAGGGCATTGGATGTCAATCAAAGGGCACTGGATGTAAATCAGCCAAAGTTAAAGAGGAACATTTTTGCCTGGTGTCTAAAGGTGTACAACGAAGGCTCATAGAACCCACAGAATGGGTGAGACACCTTTCAGGGAAAGCCTTCTTAAAAAGGTGCGTTTTCAACAGCAAACATGCTGGTTCTGCAGAGCTGGAACTACAGGCCTCTAACAGATTTCTCAGGGGCATCATGCAACTACCCAGGATTCCATGGGGGGAGCGATGAAGGTTCAACCAGTATAGAAGCCACCACCTGTTTCTAGTGTAGATCAGCTCCTTTATAGAGATGTCAAACGTGGCATTTCTATAGATATAACCCTTGGATCAGTCTTGGCAAGGCTCTCGTTTGCGCCAGCAGCAATTACAGCAATCGGTGGTGGATCATTTTAGCTTGACAATGCATCAATGTCCATCCTCGCATTGCTTCCCTCACTCCAGATATTTAGCAACATCCCCAGTTAGGTTCATGTATCAGAGTTGGATTGCTGCCCATTTTCCTTCAAAGGCTGCCATGGCAGGCGGATTGGCTCTGTTGGCTGAAGCATAATTCTTGGTACAGGCTGTAATTGCTGGTGTTATTAAGAGGCTCTATTTGTTGTTCCCTTCACTGGGAAAAGGAAGGCTCGAAAGGAAGGAACGATAAGAACTACGTGATGTTGGCGTAGGTTTATTTCAGGCACCCAAAGTCATTCCCAAATGACCTCATCCCTGTCTCCCAATAACAGTATAATAACTGGATGCAGCAACAGAGATTGATGCCCTTGATGCCATCTGGAAATTGATATGAATTGACAATCACAGACCATATAACATCTTTATTACAAAATGTTAACAGGTTAATGTTTTCTTTTCAATATGGAATAGTTAAGCATGCTCTTAAGAGGATCAATCAAATGCTAGCCTTGCTAGGAGACTTAGAATAATAGAATTGTAGACTTGGAAGAGACCCCAAGGGCCATCTAGTCCAACCCCCTGCAACCCCCTGCAATGCAGGAATCACAACTAAAGCATCCTTGATGATGGCTATCCAACCTCTGCTTAAAAACCTCCAAGGAAGGAGAGCCCATCACCTTCCTGTGGGATAACCGGTCTCATATATTTGCGAGAACAAAATGCTGGACTAGATGGGCTGGACTTTGGCAGGCTCTTATGTTCTTATGATCAGGCACTAGGTATTTTTGCACTTGTACTTTTTGCTCACACTCTCACTGCATCATGGTTTTTGTAGCTTTAGCCACTTTGTTGCATGTATCTAGGAAATATGACAAAGTCATGTCTGAATGCACAGTGAGCTAGGGTTACCAGACGTCCCCAGCTCCCGGGGACAGTCCCCGGATTTGCAAATCTGTCCCCGGACAAATTCTGTCCCTGGAATGTCCCCAGATTTGCAAATCTGTCCCCAGGAAACGTGGCAGTGGCAGCCTTCAGGAGCTGCTCACTGCCTGCTGCCGTGGCACCCACCATTTTTCCTCGCCGGAAGTCCCCGTATGGTGTGTTGTGCACAAGACACATCATATGGGGACTTCCGGTGAGGAAAAATGGTGGGCGCCATGGCAACAAGCAGCTCCTGAAACCAGCCAGAGCCAACTGTGCTACCAGGGGCGGCTCTGGGCTGCTGACTGCCACTGCCGCCGTTGCCGAAAGGGAACTGGGGACGTCCAGCGGTACAGATCAAAGGGGGAAGGGGGCAGGAGATTGGGGAAGGCTCGGGAGTCATGGGCTGGTGGCACGCCATTGCCCAGGAGGGGCGCAAGGCACGTGGTTTCTCTGCCAGGCAAGGTGCAAAGCCCTTCTTTTGCACCCTGTGAAACATACATGCGCAGAGTTTTTAAAAGACCGGGTTAAGAGCACGCCACGTGCCCGTGACTCCCAAGCTTTCCCCGATCTCCTGCCCCCTTCCCCCTTTGTTTTGGCTGATCAGGGGAGGCTCAGGAGTCGCGGCTGGCTGGCCGTTGCTCAGTTTTTTTAAAAAAACTCTGCGCATTTAGGTTTCACAGGGTGTGAAAAAAGGGCTTTGCACCTTTATACAATATGCATGTGTGCTTGGGCCCAGGATCTTTTGCCTCACCATCCC